TGGTTTCTGTACCCTGCATTTTAAGACTGTGACCTGAACATTTTTGGACAGAATACAGGGGTATTTTGGAGGCTTTGTAATTTGCTGAGTTGTGCCCGCGTTTTTAGATTTACTTGATTTGTAAGAGAAAGCTTTTCATGAATTTTTAAAGATGAGAGCTGAGGTTTATGCACATAGCGTACTTATCCTGAAAAAAAGGTTTGCTGACTCTTCATAGAGGTATTTACTATTTTAGCGTGACCAAAACCATGATGCCTCTATTACGTACTATTAGGAGGAAACTTTGTCTCTATTGTGTTGCTTATTCCATAAAGTAATATTCCATTTTGATAAGTGAGTCTGCCTGTATTCATAAAATATCATTGTTTGAAAAGTAAGAAATTTTAAAACTCTTCTAAAAGCTTTGAAGATACAAAATACAGCTTTTCCAAAAGCTTTTACCTTTTTTTTCCGAGTATACCTTAGATATCTAACTAAACTACAATATCTATATCTAAACTAACCCACAACAAAAATATACTGATTTTTTTTAACAGACATTGGCTTGCAGGTTGTATTTGAAATTTGTTAAAATGAGTCTTCRACCTCTTAGCTTGAGTACTATACATACTTTTTATGTCATTAAATGTTTTGTAAGTATCATAAGTTATTGAATATTTATAGTTCTGCTAATAATTTTTTGACATCTGTTTCTCGATGAAGAAGGAATATGAGCAAAGTTAAATACCTTATAGGAAAATGTCAAATTTCCATTGACCTGAATAACTGAAAAGTAATATTATAAGCATTAGTAGAAACAATTTTGGTTAATAATCAGTGACTTATTACATAAATAAGACAGATAAATTCAACCTGCTTGCTGCTTTTGCTGCTGTTTTTGTTGTTACACCTGTATGAGGAAAAACAAGGAGATTTGTGGGGTCTTTTGTGGTTTTCTTTTGGTTTTGTTTTTTTTTTTTTAAAAAGAGGAGTGACCGAGAATTAAATGCTTGCCTTGTTTTTAAGTCATCTGATTTAAAATGTCATATTAAAATTGTGCACCAGATTTTTTGTGGTATGAGACCTATATAAAGGAGCTTTGGCCATGCTCTCTAATGTAAAGAAATCTGTATGTTTATAAATGATGTCCTGGAATATGAATAGAAGTATAAGTGGAAATGATGTGTAATGGCATCTGCAGACCTTGGTGATTRGAGGAGCAAGAGGCTGTATATTTAATTTGTTTAAGTCTTTTCCAAGTGTTCTGACAAAAATGAAGCCAAATGAGTGAGCTCTCTGTGCTTTTAACTCCCTCTTGTTTCTCTTGGAAAAAGAGATAGTTTGCTTTGTAATTCATTAATGTTGATCTTCTATAAAATAAGCACCAATACAAGAGAAAWTGAGTTTCAAAAGTTAAAGCACATGTTTCTGATACAGTGGAAACCAGGTGTGTGAGCAGGGTATGCAGAAGGTCCATGATCARATAGTGCCTGTTTCTGGCAATAAATGCCAGTTTGGTTTGTGTCAGAGTTGCCATCCAAAATAAGCAAATGAATGACTATCTCAAATCGAGCGTGGCTCAACTATAAAAGGTGAATCAAACTTTGTTTTAGAAAAAATATTTGCACAACTCCAAACTGTGAGATTCTGGGCTGGATTTCTTACAGAAACCTCAGTTGCAATCAGTGGTGCTTAGAGGTGGTAAAGGTAGAACAGAAATCAAAGAGTTTCCAACATTATTGTACATTCCAAAACCAGCRGTAAAACAAAATGCAACATAGCACATGAGGTTTCTGAACCTGGCAACTCAAATTTACATTTACAGAGTGGGAATAGCTTGCGAAGGGTTTGCTTCCTGATTCACATACCAGGCAATTTCTTGTTCAAAACAAACAGCTTATTGTTACTCCAGTGTTATAATATTCTCTAGCTGCTAGCTTGGACTTCTTCGTAGTAGTTTGGATGAGAGCCCATGCATTTAAAAGGACTATTTAGTTTCATTAACCTTTTTTCTGTTAAAAAATTGCCTTGGCTCTGACAAACAAGAGCTTTCTTTTTGCAGGTGACTTCTACTCTTTTCTAATCTAATCGCATGCCAGAATTGAAAATATGACTTCAACAAAGTCTGCCTACCCTATCCCCAAATATTTGTTCAGCTTTAATGATACGAAATTGGCTACTTGTGGAAGACCTTATTTTAAAGGTCTAATCCAGAAATCATCTATAGCATCTCAAAACAGACGACTGTTTTCAGATTTCTATCTGAAGTTTAACCATACTGGTTTTAAAAATGATGCACTTTTTGTCCACCTCGAAGATACTATCATGGTGGAGCTCTGGAGTTTTGGGAGACTTAAATAAGCTTCTATAGACTCCTTAAAACCTTCATTCTCCCCTAGTGTTTTTGACTTGGATCATTTCAGTCACCTTGCATCTTCCATGGACTTTCATGGTGATCTGCATGGGACACAGGTTTTTTTCTCTAAGTGATTGCTGACTTTCTTTCCATCTGGGCAGCTAATATCTAAATACAACAGCCTCAAGGGGTACTAGCAACTTCAAAACAAGCTTCTGAGTGCACTGAGATCCCTGCATTAGGTTACTATAACCATTGAATTTTGAGTCCAAAAACAAAAAAATCACAGTATAACCTCTGAAGAGATTTTATTGCTCCTGGGCAAGACGAGGTGGGCATTGGGTCCTTAGTACCAACTGTTTGTCTTCAGAGATGTGTTGCTGCACCAAACTCCTTGCTAAAGTAGACACAGCATTTCCTTAATGAGGAGACCCAAATCTCTGCTAGCCTGCTCTTAGTATCCRTTAGTGGTTTGAATGTTGCTTTCCTGGGCACATTGTATTTCTGCTTGAGCATCCTCTTGGGTACAGGACTCCTGCCATTCTGAGCTCCGTGCTCTTCCGAGTCAGATACAGCCTGTCATCTGGAGTGGGCATGGGAGGTGTTTGTTTTCATGAATATCCTTATGGGAAGGGAAGTGAGCTAATTTGGGGGATTTAGACCAAAAAGGAAGGAACAGATGCCTGCAGCTCACACTCTTGCTAGTACTGCGACTTCTTTGTTTGGAGAGAGATTTTCTGCAGACCTTGTTTACAACAGCACCAATTTATTTGGATATCTGTGTTAAGAAAGAAACATTTTGTACTCTTTTCRTTCTCATTGTTTAAGTTTTGCATAAAAAGGTCATCTTAAATACTGCACAGTGCCTCATTTGAAATGTTCAGCATGCAGTTTTTGGCTGTCAGGCCTATTATGCAAATAAAAGACTTGATTATCTTTAAACACTGCGCTTTTTGCTAAGTTCCAAACAACTGGAATTTCTTCGTTTTGGAAAACTGCATTTCCTGTTCTGTCCGTCTGGCACATATGGTTCAAAATTCACTAACATCACCAAAGCAATCGAGCAGGCCAAGAACAAGCATTTGGCTTGTTCTAAAGTAAGAAAAATATATATATTTCAAAATCAAAAAAAGAGAAGTATGTGTATACTCAGAATTAATTGGTACATGCTTAAAAGCTGGACCAGAATAAGACGTGTTTCRATATTGCTGCTGTCACTTCCTCAGTACCGGTTGCATCAGCCTGCTTTTCCCTAGGCACAGCGTGTACGTTGTAGATGCGTTTTCTGATGAAATGATGGAATAAGCTAGGTGTAGGTTAGCTAGAGTGAAGGAGGCCCATCGTGTATGTCATCTTAATTTAAATCTTTCCCATGGCTGCTTTTGTCCATCGTTCAAGCACCTAAGATGCCTCAGTTTCCCCCTGGCTGGCTGCCTCCCTCCCTGTCTTTGGCTGGCCTGTTACTCGCCTTTTGGTGGGTTGAACTTCATAAACCTGCAAGCCCAAGACGCAGATAAGGGCTTTGCTTAGGGGAGTGTTTCAGGTAGCAGTGGGCCCTTTAATGTAGGCATAGCCTAACTCCTCTCTAGGCAAAACCAGCTGCAAAATTTCTACACCAAAAACTTTTTATTTYTTATGTCATGATTTATAAAAATATCATTTATAAATTAGCCAAAGTTATTTTTTCTGGAATTTTAAAGATGTTATGGAGTTGAGAATGTCTGTCTGAACATATTTAATTAACACATTTTTGAATGAGTTTCAGCGGTAAAGATAAGCATATAAAGAAAGTGCCAGACCAAAGAAAAAAACGGAGTATTGAGCAGAATTAGTCATACTTAAAAACTTGTACTGCTTGATTCTCAGAGGTTTAGTTTTAGTGTGTGTGCCTGTGGACTCATTAATTTCTGTGTTTTGAACTGAGTGTCCTGTTCACATATTAAGCTGTGTTCCAGAGAGAGTTCTGTTGGCTGAAATACAAAGTAGTAAAAATGAAGGTGTTAAGTTAATTTTGCTGTTCTATTAAAAACAAAATGCTTACTGCTTGTGGTTTGGATAAGTAGAGCAGAAGGTAGACCAATGGATATCACTCACATACAAAATCCTCAATACTAATTTTCCTTGGAAGGAAAAAAAATTAAAAACTTGTGTGCATCAGGGGTCTTCATCAAAACAGTGGTAGAGGTACAGCCAATAAAAGCACRTAGTAGGTACCTTTCATAGGGATTTTTTTTCTTACAAACTCTAACACCAAAATTCTTATTTTTGATAATGCAGTTAATAACGCACATCATCTGTAAACAAAATAAAGATGTACTCATTGACAAAGCAAGCTTCTAATCATTCTAATTATATTTTTCTAATTCTTCTAATAATAATAAATTGTATAAACTGGAATTTGTGGAAATGGATGGAGGAAACCTGATGTCATTTTAGTCTGGACCAGGATATGAAGCTTAGATAACTTGGCCTTATTCGCTTGCATAAGCAATCTCATTTTATCAGTAGTTGATCTTTATTAATGAGGCAAAATAAACATAAGCCCATTTTTCATATGGCAGCTGACATTTGCACTGGTGCATTTTTTCCAAGTTGGAGTGCTTTACAGGTTGTATACTAGCCCAAGTTTTATACGGATTTCATCTCTAGCAACTTAATTTTCCAGGCCAAATCCTTGCTTGGTGACTCGAGCGGCCTATATTGATGTCCTTGTGATGCTGAGTACTCACCTGGGGAAGCTTCAAATACTAGGTAAGTCAAAAATACTGCTGTATAAATCAGATTAAATTTCTGTGGGGAAATTCCAGAGTTGTTTTGTATCTGGAGAAGCAATAATAGATCACCTTTACTCACAGTATCTAGTGAATGCCAGAGTCCTTTGGGTGCTTCAGCTGTTTTGTATAAAAGGGCCATTAATTCTGTATAGCAGGAGCTTGTTCTGGAGACTCTTGATGAGACAGATGAGATCCTGTTCCCTGTCAAAGGTTGAATCCTGTTTTTTGCAGTATTTCTAATTCTAGAACTGTATTAAAAACCACCACCATCACAATAACAAAGGGATCTCCAGCTTTCCAGAATGTTTTACTGGTGCCAGACTGTAAAAACAGGCAACTACAACTCTACCCTTTCTGACCTTTGCCTTGGGATTTGCCCAGAGATGCCAGACCATTAGTTCTCAGCACATCTGGTGCTGGACACTCTTTGCAATGGGCCGCAGGCTTTGTGTGCAGGAAACAGCTTCCTATGCAGAGCAGTTTCCAGACAGCAATGCTCCTATGGAGAAATTTCTTTTTTTCTGGCTCCTGAGTGTTTGTTTTGGGTGAACCATATTTACTAGCTGTAATTCTCATGTTGTGTGAATATATACTTATTTTTATTCTTTGTATGAAATATTTTAAATAAGTTTTAAAATAAGCAATAAGCAATTTAAAATAGGCTGATAAGCAATTGCTCGTGGTCATAATGCTTGTAGCACAATCAAAAGTAATCTGGATTTGCAATGTCTTCATATGAAAGTCTTCATATGAAAACTCCTTTGTTAAGGATAGGTCTTCTATGGAATATTAGTTCTTTCACATACTTTTTTTTATAAAACCTCTGCATCTGTTCCTCTCCTCTGTAATATGAATCATCTCAGTCTTTCTGCATTCTCTTCATAAGAAGTTTTTTTCCTTCTAATCATTCTCATCACTTATCTTTCAACTCCATTTTTATATTCCCTTTTAGGATGGAAAAGACAGTATTCTGGCTGAGGGCTCCTCACTTGCTTAGTGAGTGAGCATTATATTAACTTCATCAATCCCTTCCSTGTTTCTTCTACCTTTGATTTTGTTACTCTATCTTTAAGTAATTGCTGCACATATGCAAAAGTCTTTATTGACCACTCCATGCCAGGAAACTCGGAGTTTTTGGTGGTGTCCCTGACTAGTGAAGACCAGCGAAGGACCACAGCATGCTGTGGCTGTTCTGCAGACCATAGCAAGTTCATTTATTTTCCAAGGCCTGTGTGGAGTGCTGCGTGGTAGAAGAATATCTGTAGAAGGAAGGCAGTTACTTTTACAGACTCTCTGCTCGGGAATAACTTGTTAATGTCTTGCTTGCTTGTATCTGTTTAAAATGATATATGGCAGGCAATATTTACTAGGAGTAGAAACCTAGAATGGAAAAAAATCTTTTAAAAACTTAGAGCTGCATTRGGAACAATGTAATATATGAAATGCAGAAGGCCTTTTGAAGTGAAGCTGTAGTATGTTTATATTAAATACAAYCTGCGTGTCCCTAGACAAGCAAAAGGAAGGCTAACCTCAGCAGTAAAAAATGAATGTTTGGAGTCCCACGCTTAAATATTCTGTAAGGAATAATTATTAACCAAGCTTTATCCTTGTCTCACATTAAATATCTTATATATGTGTATATCTGGTTACGAGCCAATTTTTTCTCATTTTAATCTTGATTTGTAAAGTTGTTGCAATGAATAAAGGGCAAAGGACAGATCCAAATAAAACTGTTGCTTGATGTGTTTATCTAAGAGGCCCCAGGAAGTGCTGTATATGAGTTCCAGGCCACAGGCTGAATTGATTTTCATCGACGCAAACAGGAATGCAATGTAATGAGCCTGCAACTGGTTAAAACCAGACCACTTCTAATTGATTATGTCTGTCTTAAGGGGCTACAATTACAAAGGGGTTTTCAGAGTACAAACCTAGTCCTTTGCTACATTACGGTTATTTTCTGTAAGTGATTGGTAGTGTTCAATTAATAAAAYCTGTCTCCTAAAGTACAGGACAGCACTGAAGGAATTTATTTCACAAATTCAAATCAGTTTACGRTGTAAGTAAGGAAGGCAGACAGTAATGGATACCAAAAACATCTTGTCCAACTAAAAATTTATTGCCACCCAAGTGATGATTTGGACAGAGGTGTTGCCTGAGTAATGTCATTGGAAAATACTGATTGTTTTTCCTCACTTGACATGTAAAATCTAGATYCTTTTTCAAGCTCTGTGTGTGCCAGGACATTTTATGATTTGGATAGGCTGTACAGAATGCCAAGGTAATGTAAACTTACAGGAATACGTTTTATCCTTTTGTCAGCTACCAAATGCAATTGGAATAGGAAGGAAAATCAATCAAGCAGCTTATTTGAAAAAAAAATGTAACTATAACACTGTTTTTACCTTTATTGGGAGCAAATGAAAGTTTTTATCTGATCTAGGATAATTTGATGAGTTAATGCCTACGTTCAGAATTAATTAGAGTTAATAAGAATATGGCACATTTTTTCCTCTACAGTTTTGGTATCTTGTGTTGAGAGTAATTACTTTTGTTGGCTTGAAATCTCACCTGTCCAATGTCTTTTCAGACTATTTGGTAGAACAATACATTCTTCTTCCAGGTTCTGGTACTTGTGCCCTGCTAAGAGCTGTTAAATTATTCCTCAAGACATTGAAGGTATGAAGGTAGGTAGGTGGTGTAGGTCAGGTCCAGACCTTTACTTACAGTATTCCTACAAGAAGCAAGTGACAGTAAGAGGGCAATATGCCTCAGAGTCTAGATGAGATTGGCCAAAGGGGTGCCAGCTCAGGCGAATATATTTGTAAATTCACAAACCTGGATCAATGGGAGCCCAAAAGAGAAGTCTGTCAAGCTGAGGAGTTACAGATCCACGTGTCTGGTTAAGGTTACACACTTTTCTGTGAAGCAATTGGAGATGGGCCTTGCTGGAGCTGGAATATCAGACTATAAGCAGGCTGTACTTTGATAGGGTGGTTTTACCGACAAAATTTCTCTCTTTAGTTGAATGTGTGAGTTTTGAAAGGGCCTGTCACAATCCTCCTTGCTTTCAAGGATTGCCATCTTCTCTTGGAAATCMGTGTTGGATCCAAGCAGTAAGATGAGAGCTCCCATGGCTGTGATCCAGTGGGTTGGCAGCTTAGGACCCAGGGCAGAAGGTGGCAGTGAAAGCTCCAGAGGGCTCATCCTGTTTGTAACACTTGAAGAATGCCACAATGCAACGTGTTCAAATGTTAATGTGTTCAAATGCCAGCGTGTTCTTCATGGCTTTTCGAAGCAATTTTCTGATAGCACTTTGTCAATTTATGGGATGAAAAATGATATTAACTAAAATATACTTGACTAATATGCTTAATTAATAGGTCTGCTTTACTAAGCACATTTTATATGGGGTTGTGTTAAAAAAAGGCACTTGTCTGTAAAGCATTATATTGCATCTATAAAGCAAGTCAACATAAAGTAGGGTAAAGAATAGAAATCTGGGAAAAGATGAGAGAAAAATTGCTAAAGATCACAGTCCCTCATGTTTGTGGTCTTGAACTGTGTTGCCAGTACTGGTACTTAGTCATCACACATCTCTGATCGTGATGATGTGTGTGGTTATTCTTAAAAGAAAAGCCCCTCACAACACACATGTTTGTTGATACTGAGAGCTGTCAAAACTGGCAGCAGTTTAGACAGACACCATAAAATTACTTAATCCAACAGAAATACATAATGATACTCTGTACATCAACTGGTAAGGAGGTAAAACAAGCTTAAGTTTTAAATACAGAAGAAATTCAAATGATTTCTGTCAATCTCAAGCATGTTGTATGATCTCTGAGAGGAAGGATCAGCTGACCTGGCAGTTTGGTGATGGCATGTTAATTCCTGAACAGGGAAGTTTTTATCTCTTCGCTATACATATGTAGTTAGCCTGCGAACAGACTCCACAGAATAGTGCCCATCTGCTGCAATCAGGGAAGATTCACAGTAGACTGCAGAGAGTCCAGGCTTGGAAGCTAGCAAGGCTTTGAGGAGGCTCAGGGATTTACCGGTCTGGTAATCCCATTTTGCTCCTCTCCCTTTCCTCTTTCTTTTTTTTTCAGATGACTAAGGATAATTTACCATCATGTACCTGCCTGGGAACTTCAGTTGGTCATAATAAATTAAGYAATCCATTGTATCTAACCCCAAAAGACTGAACTGCCCCTGTCAAAACTTTGCATGTCCCGCACTGTCCAGAAATTTCTAAAGATACCAGCACATGCATATTTTAAGTTAGAAATCTGTTTTGCAAAGTATTTGTTGTCTCACAGTCTCATCACATGTGGATGTTCTATGCTGTGTCAATGCAAAGGGCATAAGGGATTGCACAAGGCTGCCAGATGTTTATGTGCTGTACTGAGGAGAACCAACTGGATGTGCAAGAAATGCCTCTTCGTGAAAGAGGAATTTGTTCTTCCTGTCCCAGACAATTAAGGCAACTGTAAGGGGGGAAAAAAAACAACAAAACCCTCTTGGGAGCTTCTTCCCTCCATCATCATCCYGGACAAAGCTGACTTTTCTGTTTGCCAGAACCCTTGTTTGGTCAGCCAAAACTGGCTCTTCCGTCTGGCAGCAGCTGTTTTAAACTTTACAATGTTTTTGTTAGTAAATAAAAGTATGTCTTTACTGTGTCTTAACAGTAGAGCCAGAAGTTTACTTTTGAATCAAGTATGCTGGTATGGGKTTTTTTTTGTTGTTGTTGTTTTGGKTTTTTTTTTCTTTTTTTAGTAAGAAATTTTGATGTAGGCCAAAGAAAAGACTTTACTTAAAATTAGGCAGCAAAGAAAATATTCACATGAAAGCTAGGAAGGATTTCTTGACGATGCAATTAAAAGCAGGAATATTTCTCCTACAAGGTAATAAGATAGGGCTCTTCCTTCTATATTCAGATGTGTGGGAAAAAAAAGGGGCATTGGAGAGCAGCATGAGGASCACAGAGGAAGTGGGAAGAATTGGCTCTCTAGCATACCAAGGCAGAGCAAAGCCACAGGCAGAAAAAGGGACATCTGTGGCACAAGTGTTGTATTGCAGTGTCTGCAAGCTAGCATTTCCAGGAGCTCCACAGTGTTTGTATGTGAAAATAATTTTCCCTCCTAAGATACAGACACTCAATAAGTGATGTTGACYTTGCAGCATTCAAATGAAGGTTTAGCAAACTGATCTTTAACTTAGTGCATGGCCAGCTCCTGGAGTTAAAGGAACAGTTATCACTSTCTGTGATGACAGAGGGTATCGAACTTGAGCAAAGCTGGCAGTGTTGACACAAACAAAATGAAACAAAACAAACACAATTTCTCTCTCTCTCTGGCCACCTTGCTCCCACTTGCCTTGCTGTGACCCTTCTGCCCCATAGGTCTTCATGTCAGTACTTGCACATACGATATTTGCACCTCTATTCAAAGTGAAGCTAATTAGAAACCAACACTTCAAGTGCAAGTGCTGAAAATACAGGCTGGATCTGAACAACTGGTACTGTGGAATTATGAATGGCTAAAATGCAGTTTTGGGCAACACTTAAGAAACTAGAAGGATCGAGACCTCTAAAACTGGAGCTATTTCTGTCTTGGAACAAAGATGCTTGGAGTGAAACCTTTTTCTTTCAACTGACTTGACTGGCTAGGATTATTTTATGTTTATCCACAGTGTCTTATAAGTRTAGTAATAAGACCCATAGTCCAATCCTTTCCAAGGCAATCAGTTCAGAAATTAAGGGATTTTAGCAACTGGATAGTTGTCATCTGGCATACGGACTAATGCCAGTCTGTTACAATGCTACTTTGGAATGGTTTCTAGAAAATGCAGCAATAAAATATACAAATTTACATGYTAAGAGGTAGGAGGCATCTGTGTTACCTGGAGGATTGTTATTTGCTGCTGTGACAGGTTCTCAGTGATACTGCAGGTTCTATATCAAGCTAGTGCAGAAAGAAAACTACAGTGAGAACACATCGGATTGAACTAATGGGTTGGGTAATATGTCTGCACATCTTTTTCAAATGCCAAATTTCTTTTAAACTTACTCCAGAATTACTCAGAAAATGTATCTGCCTTCTCTGCTAAACAATGTATGACTGCCAAGTTTCTATATAAATGTCAAAKGTTGATGACCTTGAAAGAACTCAAATATTAAAGGGTAGAATATTTAACTAGATATAGAAGGATTAGGGAAATGTGTCAAGGGCTACAAGAATGCAATAAAATAAATATTCAGTTTATATTGTAACTTCATACTAAATTCAACAATTTAACGTTAATGTTTTGTTAGGCTTTTTGGTAAAGCTTGGTGTTTAGTTAGTTCTGAAGAGCAAAGTTATATGGTAATCAATTATCTTCTTGTAGAAAGTAGAGAAATCTAACCAAGCTGGCTTTAATCCTTTCTATCTTGAGTACATTTTGAGATAAAATTTCAAAATTCCCAGTTTCAGCACTCTTCTCTGTACTTGAGGTTTTTTTTCAGGACTTTTTTCTTGCGTCTTGTTTTTATTGCAATTTTGTAGGTTATAGTACTGTGATATTCRTGCAGTGCAAGATATACAAGCATCAGGATTGGGGAGTATCCTACTTTCGATATTATAAAATGATTTCTTCTCGTGACTTATGAAAAAAATGATGAATTTGAGGAATGCAAGGATTTCACTCTGTGGTTGTGGGTGTGTGCATGTATGTTTTGAGTGCCCACGTGGGAGAGGGAAGTTTGCTTTGGATTTTTCTTTCACTTWGTTAGTGTTGATGTTGCCAACCTTGCTGGAGCCTGTTACCTTCTGGCACTGCAGATAGGGGTGACCTTTCCACTAACTCCTGGAGGTGTCCATCTTTACCTTCAGTAAAGAAGGTCTTCAGGATGGTTAGGTGGATTTTAAATGACTAAAATGTCCTACTTGCTGTGTCGTTGCACATGCGATGGCTTAGGATGCAATCCCTTTCTTCTTAACCGCTCAAAGTTAATATGCATACAAAGAGCATATTGGATTTTTAATGAGTAAATTCACAACAACTGAGGGACACAGGATGGATCTATTTATTAAGACAATGTCTCTTTTAGGCAGTAAGCTTTTCTGTCTAAAGTTATGTGGAGAGTGGGACTTCCACAAATGCCACAGTGGCTTTGTCCGTGTGCCTGCTGAGTTCACTTGCAGCTGGTACGCCTGCAGAGACTGCTCTTTCACCAATCTACTCTCCCGTTTTAGAGCTATTCTGTCAAATTGACTGTATATTTGTATTTGGTGCTTTTGGGCTCTTCTGGAAGAAGTACTTTCTTTTCTGACGTGTTTAGTGAAGTATGTTTGCATTAATCACCTTGAACAGCAAAACATGCAACTTGCAAGACTGTTAGTTTAATTTAAGAAAATACTTTGAAATGTGATTATAGCTGGCAGAGTAGTACTGAATTGTCTTTTGTAATTAGAGATAATTGCTGTTTATAATGAGATAAAGCCCGAGAATCAAGGTGCAAAGTATTGTAGCATTTTTCAAGTTGTTTGAAGCTTTGATTTCACCTATTAAACAATGTCAACATTTTTCCAAAAAAATTGTATGCTTCTTTCTTTGTATTTAATTATGAATACATGACATCTGCAAAAGTCATTTAAAAGTATAGAATCAGTTTAAAATGAAGGATAACTTTGCTTGCATTTCATGTCTGAGTTTACCTTGCAAGATCTTTTTTATGCCTTAAGCTTTTTMAACTTGGAATCGCTTCCTCTCTGGAACAGATGATGGATCATCTGCTTGTTACTTTACTTAGTTTTATTCTCATTTCAGGAACACAATTCTCTGGATTTTGGAAAGAGCTGAACACCATAATTTCRGAGTCTGAATTGATGACAGGTATTCCCTACTTGTCTCCAGTGCCAGGACTGGCACAGTATCTTCAGAGCATCACCAAGCTCGTAATATCAGTGCTGTCAGTGACCACAGACCCTGCCATCCAGAGCAGCAGTTCATCTTTTACAGAGAAAATAGCCCAGCCATCATTGTCATTAATTAGTCTCCTTCACTGTGAGTTTCATGAAGTGCGTCTGCTTGTCATGGAGGCAGCGCTGCTTTGGCTGAAACRGATGAATTCCAAGCAAGTTAGAGAAAAAGAGAGAGGTGTGCAGTGCCTGCTCTCTGATATGGAAGACACTCTACTCTCAGTTGCTGTGAAGGAGAGTAATCCCCAGTGCTTTTGCAAGGTAGGAGAATGCTGGTTTATTCAGAATGGATTTTTTCAGTAAATAAAATTCTTAGCTTTAGTATCTTAGTGTGAGTAGGATTTTTTTTTTTTTTTTACTTAGAGTAGGATCTGTGCTATAATCCTCTAAAAGATGTTCTTGCTTAAAAGTAAAAGTGTACACTTTCTTTTTTAGCAGTATCAGGGGAGAGACTTTGTAGCTGGCTTTAAATCATTGCTTTATTAATCTCAAATGTACACATTAATGAATGAGCTTGTTTCTGAATTCTTTCTGGATGATGTTTGCAGGTGCTGGAAATTCTTTATAACATGGATCTCCAAAGTGTGCTTCCAAAGACTGAATGCTCTATGAAAATGAATCCAAATGAACTCTTAATCTGGAGTTTGAATATTGTAGATAGCTCCACTAGGTATGGTCTCTCATGATTACCAGAATAATACTCTTTAAAAACTTCTAAATTGCTTATTTATTGTTTTGAGCTTTTTCCTGTTAAGTCAAGTCCATATTTCAGAAAAAAAAAAAAAAAAAGAGTTTTGCTTATTTTGAAAAAGGAGATCTTGAAAACTATTTTAGGAGATTTACATCTGAAGTATTTTGAAGACCTTCAAGTCTGTATTCGCATTGAAAGGGTGGCCGTGTCTGCCTGTTGAGAGCAGACTGGACAAAAAGAGTCAAAGTGTGTTGATTCTGAGGACAATACCACCCTGTTTCTAAAAGTGATGATGGTCTTTATTTGAAACCATATAACATCATACCTTGTGTTACCAATGTGTGATCTGTAGAGTTTAGAGCACAGAATAGCAGCATGTAGCTGTGCACATTTGCTGTTGGTTTGCTCTAAATTTGCAAAGTTAGGTGATCATGTGGAGCGTTTCTGGAACGAAGCAGAGTAGTGTGAAAATACTGGCTGGTGCTGGTGAAGGTGGAAACAGCTGAAGGAGCCGACCTTATTGCTGGGTGTTGCTGCTCTCCTGCCCTGAGGCAGCGCTGAGGTGCAAGGGGTGCCGGGCACCATGTCCCCAGGCCCTGCGGGTGGCCCCGGGTTCCGACAYGGGGAACATCTCTCTGGGGAAGAGGGACACCAGGAGCTTCACGCTGCTTTGGAAAGATGCTTATGTTTAACATTTAAAATAATAAAATCGGGTTTGTTTATTTGGGTTCTATTTACTAATGTTTTTCTATAGAGTAGATAGAAAATAGAGAGGTGAAAACAAGAGCGTTACTTCACTTGTGTGTAAACTGAAAACTTAACCAAGGGTGAGATCTATCAAAACTCCTTGAGTGCTCAGCTTTTACAGTAACTACTGGTGATAATGAAGAATGATTAAAAGCAGTCTGTTTTTTCTTTTGGAGATGAAATGGCAGCAATGACTATATTATTTTTGATACATTCTTTGTCTTGTTTTCTCAGTACTGAAATTCAAAGCGTAGCTCTCAAATTTGCCTCAAAGTTGGTTGTTCATCTTCTACAGAATCATCAACAGGTAAGGGAAATAGGACTTGCTGAGTTTTCTCTTTATAGAGGGTTACGTTTTGAGTTTATTTGTGTTTAGATTGGAGCCTTATGCTTTTTTTTTTCTGTCTTTTGTAAGTTTTTCTAATGAATTTGATCTGATTTCTTATAGCATCTCAAGTTGTCACTTCACTGTGGAGAGAAGAACGTCCATAGTGATTAACACATGTATTGAATCCATTCCATTTATTAAAGTGCAACTTTTCTTTTTGTGATTTCTAATAACTAGGGGGCTAACATGAGGCCTAAATCAAAGGGGAAAACAGGAAAGCTGACTCTGTGCTTGGGTATAGTTCCCATCTTTAGAGTGTGCAGAAGACTTTGTTCAGTCTGAGACTGAAATCGCTCCCAGGAGACTGGTTTTAATCTGCTGTGTTGTGCTCTGGACCCGTCCCCTTGTGCAGTGCAGGTGCATGGGCACCTACAGGGTGTCACCACTGCCCTGCTTCCTCTTCAGCCACTCAGAAGGGAGCAGACAACTAATGTCTGTGATTGTACAACAGGATTTCCCCAGAACTGTTTTACTGTCAAGCAAAATATACGTGACATGGCCAGTCAGTTTTGGAATAGACTTGTGGGACTCACCAGCTCAAAAAATCTGCTTTTACTGACAAGCAGCATTTCTGCAGTAGTCTGTAGTTTACCCACTGGATTTTACAGCACACTTACTGCATGCTTGTTCTGTGCTTTCAGGTTTCAGAAGAAGTCTTAAAAAAGTGGATTCAGTTGATAGTTTATTCTTGTGGAGATGAACAAGAGACAGAAATGCTGTTAGCAGCTGCAGAAGTGCTTAAAAATATAACATCATTCATCCTGATCAGTGAAAAACTTGTTCTTGGTAAGTAGTTTGAATAATCGAGTTTTCTGATTCTTTTTAGATTAAAATCAGTAATGAATGTCTTAAAATGTATTATATACATATATGTATACACAAACAGTCAAAATGCATCAGGCAGGGTTTTTTATAGGATTTAGTATACTAAACATACAAACTTACTTCAAATTACGGTACAGAAAGCTGTTGTGCAGACCCCCTTGTGGTAACTCTGGAGATGGGGAACAGGCAGAGATCCTGGCACAGTTAGGTCTCTAACCTAACCTGTGCACTGCTGTGGGGGTTTGCAAGCCTGCAATTGCGCTCTGATGCAGACTTCTGAAATACTCTACTGTGATGTATGGTTGTGCTTTTCATGTGACACTGTGAGTATAACCAAGTTCTGTTGGCTGAAGGCTGATAAAGTTCCAACACCTTCTACTGTGAGGAAAAACAAGAAAAAACCACCCCCAAGTCACCAGGAAAACAAAAACAAACCAAAAAACCCAGATGTAGCATTATTCAACAATACTGTTGAATATTGAACAACATGAATTCTCTTTTGCCAAGGGGGATAACCCCATGCCCCTTTTTCTTCCTTGTGGTCTTCTATGAACATAGATTAAGGAAAGTTTTGTGACTGAAGGGATAAGAGTTATCTAGTCCCAGTTTAGATGATAAATCCCTTTTCCATCCTAGAACAAGACAGTAGGCTTTAAATGCTTCTGTTTTTTGGGGATTTGTTTTTTGTTTGTTTGATTGATTTTTTTTTATGAAGTTTTATTCCAAAATAAATGCTTTTAGTCTGTGTTCACCTATATAGACTAGGTACATAGTTTTTGTTAGACAAGAAGTATGTTATCACATCAGCTCTCAGTGCAGAATTATTCTTGTGAATGGGAAGTTTATGCACATGTAAACTCTTTTGAGCTTACTTGCTTGACTACATATTATCTAAAGCAGAAATTAAAAATGGTTTGGATGAAAGAAAAATGGTTTGGATTGGAACTGAGATCATTTCAATGTGGAATAGTAATCAATACAATAAATTTAAATCAATACAATAAATTAATAAAGGGAACATCAATGCAGGTCAGTAAGTTCTAGGTTTCCTTGTTCATTCTTTTTGTTTGAAGATTCAGAGAAAGAGTCTTCCTGGAAAATCCATTTGCCGTCCTTTCTCTCTCCTGAGGGTACGATGGAAACGTGTCTAGTTGGGGAAACTGGCTCTTGTATCTAGAACAAAATAATTATTGTGATCTGGTTGTATCAGTGTAACGTTCTTACATGGGTGCATTATGCTAGGAAAGAAAAAGCAACTTCATTCTGAAATAATTACATTTCATGCTACTATCAAATAGGGGAGTTATATGAAATATAGGACGATGCTTCTGCCAGTGTAGTAAGGCCTCAAGCAATTCATTTTACCCAAGCAGTGAAATAGATTTGTCTGGCCAGAGTGGTAGTGCAGATCTCTGAGACACCATTGATAACAACGATTGAAGAAAACCAGTAAATGAAAGGAGCCCCTTCATTGTCCTCCGAGGTCGCCAGAAAATGGGATCTGCAGCTCCCTGCCTCTGTGGCCAGGTCTGCAGCAGTACCTGAGCACAGTGTGGTCTGGCAGCCCCACTCTGGGCAGACTGCAGAAGTTGTTCACGATCACAGGGAGCTACTGGACCTTCAGTATGAGCACATCTGCTTATGCCCAACGGGAACTTCGCTCTGCCAGAGAATGGGAAGTTCAGAGCACCCATGACATGAAGTTGCTTCAGAGCCACCCATCCTCTGAGCACTCCCAGACTGAGTCAACAACCTAGATCAAGGTCACACGTGTGCAGAAAGTATTTTGACAATGTTCTCACCAGTGTTCCCAGTGCATTGCAAATGCATTTCTGCTACCCCTCTTTTAATGTTTCACAGGATTTGTCTTCTTTAGGTGTGAAAATGAAGCTCTGTAACTTTTTTGAATGAACGTAGGAAATAGCATTCTTAATTTTTTCTATAAATACTTAGGTCTGTCTGATACACTTGCTATGTGGAAATGTGTGGTTCTCCTGCTGCAGAATGAGGATTTGGTGGTAAGGGACGCTGCTGCTGAGGTTGTACAACTGGCACAGTCTCAAAGGAAGAACAGTACAGGGACAGGTACGTTCACTTTCTTTCTGCCTTAAAATATTTTTGAATACTTGAGAAACAAAATTAGTTTCATTCTCATCACAAAACTGGCTAGATGTAAAATGATTCATGCATTCCGTATAAATGCATACTGTGGAAAATAACAGAAAATCACGAGATTTTACACCCACTACGTTTAATTGCTTTTTGTATGTGTGATTTCAGTATACCTGGCCTRTGCTCACGTGACTATGTAAAAAGACAACAGTAGATGTCTTTTAAACTTTATGGTTCTTGCTGTGATGAGTCAACTATGGCATGAGGAGTAATTTTGAAAATTCTTCAATAGCAACATTGGTCTAATATAATGCAAGAGAAGATGCTATTTGAATCCCAGGTGGTTATAATAGCCTGGTCACAGCAAGATAATAATCTGAGAAACTGAATTCGACTCATTGATTCATTATTAGACCTTGAAATCCATTTAGATCTAGATCAACAAAGACAATTCTCAGCACACCCACAATGTGCTTTCGAGGATGTGGGCCTTTGTGGCTATGCCCTAATTTCCTCAACTCTATTAATTTTAAAACAACCACAAAATGTGAGTAGGCTTAGCTAATTACTGTGTTTGGCTTTGAGAGCCTTTGCTGAGACATTCTTGCATGTGTTGTGAATAAACACGAAGTTGCTAGCGTGCTGGTCACTGTCAGTCTGTGCCGTTCAACACTGGCTGCCCTGACCCCCGTGTTAGCAGGAGAAATCAGTTGGCCACCTCCATGTAAACTTAAGCTACATTCTCAATAAAGAATGGGTTACCAAAAAAGAAGGGAGGAGGAGGGAGTTAAGGACATGCTTGTCACTACTGTGAATGGAAGTAGCCSTGAATGTATGTGCTCCTATGGCAGATGTACTTTTTGAGCAAGTGCTGTTTAAGGCCAGTCCAAGGCAGCAGGAAAAGGTAGGAAGATGAAGGATGTATTAAGGAGGACCTGTTCATTCCCACAGCTCGGGTTCCAGCACTTTCATCACCGCTCTAGCAAGTTGCTTAGTGCCAGCTCCGATTCTCTCGAGTGCCGAGAGGCTCCATGCACATGTGTGTGAGACAGCCAGTCTCACTGGGGATTATTTCTGTCCCTGACATAGGCTTTGAGGCCAAAGACTCAGATGTCATSAGAGGGTGCTTCCTTTGGAAATCAGGCAAGGCTGGAGTTTCTCTCTGGCTCTTGTATTTTATCTTTTTTTCTTTGTTGTATCTTTATGCCAAGGAATGTTCCCCTATAACTGCATTAGATGCTGGGGGCTCTGTCCTACTGATTTATACTGAGGTCACATCAGCCCTTGCTGTTATAATTTGTCACTTTGTAAAGCAGAGGTGAATAGAGTTGAGGAAATAACATCATAATTGGCTTTTATTTTCCATGTTGCTAATTAGAGTAGGAGTTCATGGCCCCAGACTTGTGTTAACCCCTTAGTTCAACTTAGTTGTCCCTTCTCATTCTTTCACTTAAACTGCTTTTCATTAAATCAGGCTCCTTTGTCAGTGAATAGTAAGAAATGCTGCTCCTGAAAAGATAAAAGCCAGTTTCTTTCCTCCTTGGTTTTACATTTTCAATATTGTTCTTTCATCAGTCCTGTTCACTCCCACACTGARCTCCCCCTACATCTGTGTTTTGCCTTGCTTTCCAGCTTTTGAGGGAGAAACACAAGGAGATTGTCTGGGGTTAACAGTAAAAAGCTTCCAGTTTATATATGTACTTTTTTGTAAGACTTTTATAGGACATTTTTTCTTTCCTGTATGTCTTGCTGAGTAGCACAAGGCATGTGTGGCAGCCTGGGCCTGTCGGGCAGTTAGGTTTCTTCAGGGCACTTGCAGACAGTGAAACCAGAGGCAAAAGGTCCAGTYAGCTACGTGGTTTTACCTCCAGCAGTAGCCCCTACCAGGGTAATTCTTTGGTATTTGATGCAGATTTCTGGGAGAGAATATGAACCTTGTTTCTTCTTATTCTTAATGACTTGGAGTGAGAGTGAGGAAAAAAAAAACAAGAACAGTTTCCTCTGGTAGCTAATCCGTGCGCTTTTGGATCGCTGCAGTTGTGAGGGCAGTAACCTTGCAGAGGATGAAACTCGGGGCAACAGATGTGATAAGAGAAGCTTGTTGTCACAGCTACAGCCCGTTCTCACTTGGGAGGAGGAAAGCACAGAAGATCAAACATGCTGGTTCACGGGAGGGCTCCTTCAACCCCTCAACCCTCAAATTAATTTTTATGGGAGGCAATGTACTATATCAGTAAATTTTTTTCTTTTCGTTTATTCATACAGAGAAGCTTAATTTAATTTTGTAATATGTTTAAAAGTAGATTAAAGATATGAGGTGAAAAAGTGAAGAGGTTAACTGCAGTCATTTTCTGAACAGATCAGGCCAAACAGAATCCTATTTCATTAGAAATGTGGAGAACTTCTATTTTGCTTGTTTAAAWTACCAACCTGGAAGGTAGTTAAGTTTTTACTAATAACTTGAACAATATGAGCCCAATCTGTAACTTGAGGTATTGTATGTGCACTTTGTTGTTGTTTCCTCATGCATTGAGGTGTAAACTTCTGTGGGATTGTTTCATTCCTTTCAGTAGGAGGGAGGGTACAGGAAGTATTGTATTCAGTGTAAATGTAGAATAGTTTCTTTGAAATCTAATTAAATTAGTGACCCATGGCTGTGTAAAGTCTAGACCTATTCACAGCAGTGTTTCTTATCCCAGGGGTTACTCTTTACAAAAAAAGGATCATTTAAGCCATGCAAAAGAAAGGTTTGACTTTCTTTACTGAGGATCACTTTACAGAATATCCTGAAAAAGTCAGATAATTGAGAGAGAGGAAAAAAGCTGCATCCACTGGTGTGACGTTTCCTCCATGGCTTTGTTATTWACAGAGGAAGATGTGTTACCTTATGTAAAGTTATGAGCTTGTCTGCATTAGAGAGGTTTAAATAAACAATTCCATAAAACAAATACCTTTAGACAGCTCGACCTTTGATTTGGTATATCACCGAATTAAGCTTAAACTGCTTTAAGAGCATTTTTAGTGTTGTCAGCATTAGCACCAATTTAACTGATACAAAATTGCCAGAGCTGAATCAAGTTTTGCCGAGCAATGAGATTTGCAGACTGAAATAAATCCTTGAAAGTTCCTGAAGGATTTAGGAGCTGGAATTTTCTTTCCAAATGGAAAGCAGGCTTCCAGGGAGCTTTTCCTGCATTTACTGTGGAGCTGCAGAGTGGGCAGGTGAGATGAGGAGGTGAGTGRTGAGGGGCTCCAAGCTGGAGCTCTCTTGGGTTTGTGCAGCACCCAGGAGGTGAGTGGGGCCGCTCAGAGCCACGTGGGCACCGCTCTGCTCCTTATGACTCCAATGTAGCTTGTGATTTAGACATGTGTCAAGTATCTGTGAAAATTAGCCCTTTTTTCCTTATTTCCTAAAGTTCTTGGATAATCTTGAGGTTCGGGATTAGGCTGCAAGTGATGCGCAGTTGGTTTTGAACCTATTGCTGTGTTAATCCCCTGGCCAGAAATAGATAGATGGATACGTAAGATATATCTTAAGCAGTAGAAATAGTATCTAGTTGATAGTCATATGGTAGGAATTTTGATGTAGAAGGCAATTCGAAGCTTTCTTCTCCTTTCTTGTTGCTTGTTTCCTTCCTAACACATTCTGCTTCTTATTCTCAGCCAAAACAGTGCTGCTGACAATGGCTAACATCCCGTGGGTTGTTTTTATTCACCAACAAAAGGCATTCGGCTCGTGGCCGTGCTGGTCCTGCTGGGCAGGAGGAAGCCCAGGCCTTCAAACACGCTGGCCAACCCTTGGGAAGACGACGCGGAGCAGGAGACGGCAGCGCTGCGGCCAAAGCGCGCCTGGATAAATGGGGATCCTCCTGCAGGTCCTTCTTGTTGGCCAYGGATCTGTGTTTTACTGGTCTATGTATCTCTGCCATTTTTTGTGTATCTGTGAAATTTTCCTCCTGGGAAAAAAAATGTTCTTTGTTTCTTGTGCCCCCAGTCTTTTTTTACTCATGCTTCATGAGTATAGAAGACAAACTCAAAAAAATTCTTTTTCATGACACAGAGTGTGTCTCTGTTGAAGGCACCTGCAGAAAAGGCTTATTTGTCTGGGGGCTTTGGGTAGGCAGGAAAGGATTTAGTGGAGTTTGGAAGGGAAAAGCTAGAAGATTGGAATAAACTATGCTAACGTTTGAAAGAGCAAGAGAGAGAAGAGATCATGCTCAAATTTATGTTCCTTTGTCCCATCCTCTAATTTTTCAGTGAACCTAAATGTCTAAGGGAATTTTCATCCATGTGTGCCCTCGGAAGRTCCTGTGAGTAGCTCTGCAAAGGAGCAAGAGGCAGCGGGGTGTGTGAGCTGTGAGCACAGCGCAGTGTCTGGCATTTGTCACCAGCGCCCAGGGGCTATCAGCAAACCACGGGTGACAGGGGTCATCTCAAAACTTGTAGCCCAAATGCCCCTTATGATGGAGCCATGAAGTCTTTTGGGACAGGTGACGTGGATTTAATCTGCTCCTGTTCCTACTGAAATAGAGAAATACAGGGCAAAGCTGAAGTGTTAAAAGTATCATCATCATTGGGAATGTTCAGCTGCATGAGAAGAGCAGTGGGACTAAAAGCATCTCATATGCTACGCTTGAAACAGCAAAAAAAGTGTATTTTGCTTCATTTTTTTCACCCAATTGCTTGTCASTATTTGAGACTGAATGTTTTCAAACTCTTCTTTAAGGTACATGCAAACAGAAGGAACTTTTCTTCTACATGTTTACCTCTAGGTAAATGTGTTAAATAGATTCATTAGAGCTTTAATTCATCCGAATGTTGAGCTGAGCCTCCCCTAAGGCCTCACCAGGCCCCGCCATTTACTATAAAGTGGTGGGGCTGAGCTGTGGGGCTGGCAGGTAGCTGGTTCAGCAGCTGTGCAGCGCTGCTGTGAGCTGCATGCAATGCCAAGGGGCTTGTGCTCTCTTCAGTAG